ACCCCCCACCCCACTCACTACCCCCGTCCAGGCGCCCCCCACTAACCCGCCCCTCTCGTGCGCCCGCAGCGGCTGCAGAAGCTGGTGACCCCCAGCCCGGACCTGCCGGTGCCGGGCGCCTCCAGGGCCGGCGCCGTGCAGGTGCAGCTGAGCCGCTCGGCCAGCGACTGCGATGCCAACGGGCGCTGCAACGGGGAGGACGGCACCGCGGCAGCCGCCCCCGACGCCAACGCCGCCGCCGCCAACGCCGCCGGCGCCGCCGGCGCCGCTGGTGCCGCCGGTGCCGCCGTGGCCGCGGCCGTGGCCGTCGGCGGCGGCGCCTGCGCCGACACGGAGAGCCCGCTGTGAGCGGCGGGGGCCCCGGCGGGGGCCCAGGGTGGCGGGGCCCGACTCGGGTCCCCCCGGGGTCAGCGGCTGGAATGGCGCAAGGTCTGTTTTAATTCTGGGGGCGGCTGGCCCCCAGATGTAGCCCCTAGTGATAGTCCTAGCTCCTAGGTGTAGGCCCCGAGCAGGCTGCCTCCAGCCTGAAGCCCCTATAACCTTGTCCGTGACTCCCTCGCCTCTCTTAGCCCCCCTGAACTGTAGCCCCCCCTCCCACCCAACCGCGTCCCTGCGTCCCCCACCTTGGTGATTGTTTGGCACGGTGAGCAGTCGACCCCCCCCCCAGACCGCCCGTCCCAAGCTGTATTTGTGTGCTCGTGTTTTGTCCTTCACCGTTTAAAAGATTGGAGGCAGCGGTGGGAAGTCGCTGGGGTTTCCAATGGGATGGCAGGGGTAAGGCGGGCCACTCCACGCTCTCTTTCTCTCTCTCCGGCTGAGAGTTGGAAGGGGCTCGCGCGTTCGCCGGCTCCTCCGTCCATCCGTCCGTAACGACGGGGCGGCGGGGTGGGGGGGCGGTGCCCTCACCCTGGAGGAAGCCGGGCTCGCATTGCGCAATGCGTTATTGCCCCAACGCGCGCGCGCGCACTTGGGAGAGACACGAGCAAAAAGAGCCAGGGATAAAAGGACAAGTTGCTAATGTTCAGGTGCGCTTTGTCCTGCCGGCGAACCACCGGCTTCCGATTAAATTATCCGGGCGGTGACGGTGGCCACGTCGCTGCACGTGGCCGCCTGTAGTGACCCAGCGGTGCGAGGAGGCAGCAGCATCATCAGCCGGGGCTGGGAGATCCCCGCACATACACACACACAGACGTTGTTGCGAAACTCCACTTTCCCGTGGTCGTGGAGGAGGTTGCCATATCATGGCTCGCCAAGAGAAGGCGGCACAGCACAGTTTGGACTCTGCCTGTTTCATCTGTGTGGAATAGAGCGTTGCCCCCTTGCACGCGTGGATTGACCTCTGGGTGCTCCTCCCACGTGGTGTATAATAGACAACTGATACATTGGCTGATGACACCTTCGTATGTGGAGGACCGGCAGGGCTACGGCAATTGTTGGTAGCGCTGGCTCCTCCCGCGTGGCTGCTAAACTACTCTTCTAAACTTTATTTATTTAAGGCTCTCAAGTAAGCTCTATAGCTCTTATTCAGAAGCGACCCGGCTCTCAAAAATTAATAGCTCAACGAAGTGGCTTATCATCATCGCGTGGAAATGTATCGCAGCCAAATACTCTAAACGCGTGATGTCGAGCATCAACGTGGAGGGAAAAACCGGAGGACCCCGAGAAAAATCCACGCGACCACGGGGAGAGAGAGAGACACGCAAACTCCAAATATACAGCAGCAGACGTCACGGTTGGGATTGAACCCACGACCTCCTGTATACCAGGCGAGGTAGTTAGCATATCGTAGCCACCGTGATGATGATGAGAGAGAGAGAGACACGCAAACTCCAAATATACAGCAGCAGGCGTCAGGGTCGGGATTGAACCCACGACCTCCTGTATACCAGGCGAGGTAGTTAACATCTCCTAGCCACTGTGGTTACTGCTGCTGCAGCCTTCCCGCTCCTCATCTGTGGTTCTTCCTCCTGGTGCATCTGAGTCTCCCCCCCCCCTCTCTCTACGAGAGCGAAGAGCGAACACCATGCGGCGGTGGTGGTGGCGAAGCGTTACGAGTGGAGATGATCAATCACATCAACGCTCGAGTAAGGCAAACACACGTTTGGAAAGCAGATACACAATCTATGGGTGCATATGCAGGATCTCTCCAAACTTGTGTTTAATTAAAAAGAGGCTTATTCCAGTAAAGCAAAAACAACAACAACAAATACCGCTCGGTTTGGAAACCCCAGCGGTTTTAGCGATGGGAATCTCGCGCAGGGGACCCCCTTGACGAACAGGGGGGGGGACCCCCTTGGCCCGTTGCGTATCCCCTTGCTGATCGGTAACGAAAGCAGGGGGCTAACGGTGAGGTTGCACTTCATGACGATCGAGCGAGGGTTAGCGGTGAGCTGAGTGGGGTCGGTGTAGGTGTAAATACAGGTGTACATACGGGCACGTGCAAGTCGCACACACAGGCGCGTGTATGTGTACCTGTGCAGGTCTATGTGTACCTGTGCAGGTGTATGTGTACCTGTGCAGGTGTATGTGTACCTGTGCAGGTGTGCATATGGGTACACGCACAGGTCAGTGTATGTGTACCTGTGCAGGTGTATGTGTACCTGTGCGTACAGGCGCGTGTATGGGTACCTGTGCAGGTGTACGTGTACCTGTGCGTACAGGCGCGTGTATGGGTACCTGTGCAGGTGTACGTGCAGCTGTGCGTACAGGCGCGTGTATGTGTACCTGTGCAGGTGTGCATTGGGGTGCACGCACAGGTCAGTGTATGTGTGCCTGTGCAGGTGTACGTATCGTTTCTGTGCACACACAGATGCCCACGTGTGTCGAAGTGTGTGCACAGGTGCCCTACAGGTGCGTGATGCACCTGTGTAGGTGCCCTACAGATGTACGATGCACCTGTACAGGTGCCCTACAGGTGCATGATGTGCCTGTACAGGTGCCCTGCAGGTGTGCGATGCACCTGTACAGGTGCCCTACAGGTGTATGATGCACCTTTACAGGTGCCCTACAGGTGCATGATGCACCTGTACAGGTGCCCTACAGGTGTATGATGCACCTGTGTAGGTGCCCTACAGATGTACGATGCACCTGTACAGGTGCCCTACAGGTGCATGATGCGCCTGTACAGGTGCCCTGCAGGTGTGCGATGCACCTGTACAGGTGCCCTACAGGTGTATGATGCACCTTTACAGGTGCCCTACAGGTGCATGATGCACCTGTACAGGTGCCCTGCAGGTGTGCGATGCACCTGTACAGGTGCCCTACAGGTGTGCGATGTACCTGTACAAGTGCCCTACAGGTGTGCGATGTACCTGTACAGGTGCCCTACAGGTGTGCTATACACCTGTACACGTTTCAGGTGACCGTGAACACCTGTCGCCGCCACGCGCCGTTCTTTCACCCCTTTTACGATGTCACCCTGACCCCCTCCTACTTGTCCTAACCCTTAAACCCTTCTCCCCTAGATCCCCCCTCTCCCCTTCTCCCCAGTGTGGGGATATAAGACCCCTGTTTAGGGACCAAACTTAGAAGAACACGACGGCTCACAGTGTGGGTGGAAGGAGGGGGTGGGGAGGTTTAGTCGGGGGGGGAGGCTGGGAGAGGCTTAAGCCTCCCCCCCTCCCAATTCCTCCCCCTCCTCTTCCCATTCGCTGGGTTACCGATCGAATTCACGCGGAGAAAATACAAACGGAGTGCTCGGCTTCTTAACCAGGTAAAGCCCAATGAGCCCGTGAGCCGCCGTTCAGAGACGACCTCGCCACGCGCGATGACGCCTCCTCGTCGTAGTCACCAATCGCCGAAGGGGCGGGTATCGTCATCGCGTGGCACGGGAATAATTTATAGCGGCAGCCAAATAATCTGAGCGCGCGTTGATTCTCAATGTGGACGGTTGGGGTTGGGAGCGGGGGGGGGCAACGCCGAACAATTCACGCGACTGGAGATAGAGAGAGAGAACGCGGGGACTCCAAACACTGACACGGTACACGCATAGTCAGGGTCCGGGATAGAACCCAGGCGAGGGAGACGACATTTCCTCACTGCCGCAGCTGCCCCTTGGCGATTGTATGGATTGAAAACAGCGCGCTCGCACCCTGCGGACGCCTCCATGAGTTACCATCGGCGTAGCCCCCCCCCACTCCCTCCCTCGGTATGTTCGTTTTACCCACATTTGAGACGCAAAGAAAAAAGTGGGATCCTAGTTCTCCTGGTCTCACCAGCAATGCCCCCTGAGAAGAATTGAATTCTCAGCTTCCGCTCTCGGAATATCCAAGTGGGAGGGGAAGGGCGCGAGGGGGGGGGGGGCGGCGATCGTGGCAATAACCCCCAGCCCACCCCCACCCAGAAAATTGGTATTCTATTGATATTGACCAGCGACAATACATGTATCGCCCGTTCGGGTATGAGTATTACTATTATTGCTATTAATGTAGGGCCCTGTTCATATCAAACATCTTGACATCTCGCGACCGCCGCCCGCCCTCGAGGGGCAGGGGCCCAGGCGCTCGGCCTCGCACCCGCGAGCGGCCGAGGGATGCTGCGGGAGGCGACGTTTCTTCTGGGCGCAGGTCGCGCTGTTCATGGCAGGTTCATGAGATGACTACGGGTGGAACCCTGTCTCTGAAATCGGCGGCGCCGGTCCGCGCACGCGTGCATGCCAGCGAGAGAGAGAGATCCGATCGGAGACCCCGCGAGTGAGACCTTTCCCCGCGGCGTGTCCGTCCGCCGTTTTTTAAGTGATTGTTGTTATTCATGATTGTTTTTATATATGCATTATATATAGTAGTCGATGTCGAATAGCTCCTGTCGTAATATTGATGATGATGATGACGACGATGTGCGGTAGATGCGGTAGACTCCTGAACATTCCTAACTGAAAACATTCCCACCATGACGCCACTCGGTGTGACGCCAGGCTGTGTGATGTCACGTGGTGTGATGCCAGGCAGTGTGATGCCAGGCAGTGTGACGCCAGGCTGTGTGATGCCACGTGGTGTGATGCCAGGCGGTGTGATGCTGCTCGGTGTGACATCACTCAGTATGATACCACACGGTGTGACGCCACTCGGTGCAACGCCACGTGGCGTGACGCGATGATGCCAGTGCTTTTTGTGAACCCATCGGGAGCCGCTGCTCTGAAGGCCGGGACCACATTGTGGGCAATTTTAGAGCAACCGTTGCCACCCGTTATCTGATTGAACGCTGCCATCATCCCAGTTGTCCATCCCAGAGGGGGCAGGAACAGCAGCGGCGATCAGATTCGTTCCACGTGCGGGCAACTAGAATTGTTTGCCGGATAATCTGCAGCGGCAACTGTTGCAACTTACGATTGCCTCCGGCGATTGCCGTAAAATTGCCCCTAGTGTAGCGGCGGCCTTGAAAAGCCGGGCCGACGCCTGAGCGATCAGTTGCGCCAACGCAGTCGCTTATGTCCGGACGTTTCTGCAACCGGTTGCGAGCGGTTCGTCGACGGTTACGAGCATTGGGGACCGCCTCCTCGGCTTTCGAGCGACGATCCGCTCGGAGATTTCTTAGCGACGCGTTTCCGCCATCGCTTAAGCGCGGCGCATTTTGTTCGACCCGTGACGATCGGTCCCACCGATCCCGAAACCGGTCAGTTTCCTCGTTGCGCAACCCACTCGCTCGGATGCTGTGGACAAAGCGGCCACGCAATGGGTGCAACGGTGGTGTAGTTGCGTGGCGGTGATATCGGGAGCGGTTTCGGGTTGCTCAAACAAATCGCCCGGGCGCGATCGCGGCAGCTCCACAACCAATCACACGCGATACCTCGGTCACATGTCCTGCAATCAGGTGACACGAAGTGGGGGAGGGGGGGTGGTGGCAGTGAGGTGACCCCCACGAGAAGAGGTCAATTGAGACGGGACCATGGCAACTAAGAGGGCACGGCACCAGTTGTTTACAGCCACAAGCCAGTGGTAATAACTCCACGTCTCTATGGCAGGGGGCAAGTCTGTCCGTAGAACAACCATTGTTTAATTCCCCATAAAATTGTTACCGGCTCTTTGAAGGACAGGGTTGGTGGATAACGTAGGGATCTAGCGTGAGACTCCCAAACTTGCGACGGCCGCGAGGTGCCCAGGAGAATGGGGCAGTAGAGCAAGTCGGTCCGTGGGCCCGTGAGCAGAGCAGACCTTCGAGCATCATCTCCTCGTGGGCGTGGCGAGGTTTCCCAACTTTCCTCCTGCTCCGATAATCGACGGCCGTTATTTAAAATCACATTGGCCAGGATTTTTTTTTCTTACCGGACAAGGGAAGGGCATCACGCGGGGAGAATCTCCGTTAACGCCGATCGCATTTCCCGCAGAGTTCCACAACGGACGATAAAATAACGCGCCGTGAGTGAACCCTGGTTGGGATGCGAGCCCGAGGCCTCCGGGTTGGAAGTACCAAACTCCCGAGTGCTTGAACCACCGCGACACCCAGACAGATTTTCGGACAAGGGAATGGGGAGTGGGTATTTGAGCCTGACTAACTGAATACTCCCAAACTTCTTAGACTAACTGCTCACTGTTCAATATTACAAGGATAAATACAAACTAATTATAAGAGAGTTTAGTGAGTGGGAAACAAGGTGTTTGCCATGGTGAACTATGAGTGCAGGGTGCATGGCAGAGCCCCTGTGTGGTTCATATCTCCGGCTAATATTTGACAAATATTGAATTCTAGTCTCAAGATAACCCAAATAAACGTTTAGCAAAAGTCCCGGTCAGGTTTATGTTTAAGCGGGTGAACAGGATAAAGTATCATCGGCACGAGTGAGTGACCTCGGGCCACCTAAATATAAATAAAGTACTCGGAGCAAATAGCATCTGCGCGACATCGCGTGACATGTGGAGAATATTGCAAAAACAAACAAAATCCTCCACGAAAAAAAAAACATTAATTGTTATTTTTAGCGCGCGTGGGCTCGGCCAGAATAATATTGAGACCGATAGCAGAGCAATTACACAATGAAGTTACGGAAACATTTCAACAGATGTAAGAGGCGGGGAGGTGGGGGTGGTGACGGTCGTACCGATGTGCCAACAGACGAGTGGAGGACACGCCAGTAAAACGCATCGTCCGATGCGGCGTGCGCCAAATAAACATCACAGACGCTGGCCGCACGATACGTCTGGGGAGAAAAATGGTGCTGCGTGTGATCGTGATGATCGTCGGGGATGGGGTGGCATCTCGGCTGACAGTATTACGTGGGGGTTGGGGTGGGGGCAGTGAGGGCTGGGGGCATTATCACGCAAGCGGGCACAGCTCAGGAGCGGCAGTGGGGCTGGTGGAGGAGGGACCTTCTTGCTGATCGAGGTTCCAAGAGGAACTTTCGCGGCCAAGATTCGACGGGCAGGGCGGCTCGGCCCAGTGCACAGAGACACCGCAGGCATGGACGGCAGTGACCCGAGTGCAGAGCAAAAGTATTAGAAACCCAGGTGGTCAAGTATTCCCTTCCCCCGCCCGCCCTGTAGGGCCCCCATTAAGTGCAGCGAAGATGCTTTGCAGTGACGGTTAAAAATGTCGTTTGCGTGTTTCAAAAGTTGTAGCTGGGCGTATAAAATTAGAAACGCAGTGTTCATGCCAGCTTTGACAGTATTCTCCCCCCGCCCTCTAGCACCCGATTAGTGAGGCTATGAGGACATTAATTCGCGGGCCGTGTGACATGAAGTTGTGGGCCGTGTCTGGCCCCGTGGGTCGTAGGTTTTCCCCGTGCTTGTTCCAGATGTTTTTGCTTGCTGGTTCCACCCCTCCCCTCCTCCGCCTCGCTCCACTCATCCTAAAGCCTCTCCTCCGACCCCGAGAGCAACACCGTAGGAGGAGCTGTAACGGCGGAGTTGAGTAAACGAGGTGGTGGAGCTTTGAGCTCAAAGCATCTCTTTCCCCTTTGCCAATCGTCGAATTGGTTCGCGGCGAGCGTCAGCGCGGCCACACGCAGACCCCCCCCCCCCTACCCCAGATGCCTGCATTCAATTATATGGGTTCGATTGGGATCGATGTGAATCGGAGGCCGTTGTTGAATCGGAGCGAGCGAGCTGGTGGGAACGGGACGCGTTTCTCACGTGCCAGGGCCCTCCTGAAAAAAAAATGTGCCCGTCAAAACAAAGTTTTTCACTCTAAATCCTTTATATGCGTGGCGGCTAGAGTCCTCTCGTCCTCTGGCTTGAGATGGCTGCCACCTATGGGTCAGATGATTGCCTGCCACCATTAAGCAATTGGTAATTAAATCTAGTTTATTTTTTCCTTAAAAGTGTAAAATTTTGGGAAAAAAATTTCACGAAAAGAAATTGTCACGCACAACGAGCCTGTGTGCAAAATGTCAGCTCGATTGGATCACGGGAAGTGGGTTAAAAAACGACCGAAAGATTTGCACTGGTCGTAAGCGCGCAAGCAAGCAAGTTAACTTAATATAAAGGATTTAAAAAGAGACCTTGAGACTCGACGAGGCTTTCCTGGGTTAACTCGAGGGCATTGTTATCATTATTACGATCATTGTCATTGCTGGTTGATTTCATTTGCCCCAGTGGTTACACGCGGAGTCTCTTCTGGCGGTAACTATGTACAGAACCCCCCCACATTGGTGCGACTGGATAGGCTCCATAACGATAAATTATAACGTTGATCATTGACAGCCCAGCGTCAGTCCAATGCTGGATGAAGGCCATACTTCACCACGCTGGTCAGTGCGGGTTACAGAAGGGTGGGTGTCGGCTCAAGACCGGTTCAGTTATCACTGGCCATGGCCTTGGAATTGTTACTCGGGGTGGCTGGGTTCCCCGCGCAGCGCGCTAACCGCTGCACCACCGCTCCCCCACCAGGCCATCGTATCTGTAACCATATGAATATTAATAACATGTAGTGGGACGAAGATATAGATACCGATGTTTAATCACCACCAATAGCGCGCAGCAGTGGCTAGTGCACTGCACTATGATCACGGCGGCCCGAGTTCAATTCCCGCTCACGGCCAACGCCAGTGGCGATTATCTGAACCAATCGTGGCCCTCCCCTAGGTCGACTCAGCCTCCAATAAGTACCCGATAATGCGGGTTGTAAACATAAGCTTATACCTCGTGTTCACTCGGCGCTTGGATAAGGGGGCTGTATATAGGGGCTGACTTGTCGACCTTAATGGGTGCTCGCTAACACCACAGAGTTCGATACCCGGCCACGGCTAACATCAGTGGCGAGTGATATACGAACCGGTCCTGGGCATCCCACCCACCACCACCGCCACCACCCATCGCCAAACCCGTGCACTGAAAAGCGCGATGTGAAGTATGATCGAACGACCCTCGTGATCGATATGGCATCGGGAGGCATTCGTCCAGCAGTGGATTAACCAAGGTCCGTGATTCTTCGGTATATTGTTGTTAATGATAACGTAACAGCCCGTTTAGAACAGAGTTGTTGTTTTTTTTATCATGGGAGCCCAGCAAGAGAAACCCTTTTAAATCGGATATAATCTACGCTTACACTCGCACAGATCTATGAATGTATCGCGAAGGTAAAAAATAACCGGTTGGAATCGGTGAACCGGTGCAGTCTGACAAACGCAAACACCCCTCCGTGTCACCTTTAACATGCTGCTGGGGCAAGGTGCTGTCAGCGAGCACCTGTTAAAGCCGAGACTGTGATACACGAGGGGCTGGTGTGGCTCTAAACCCACGTCTGGCTGCCTTTGTCTCCCCAGCGCTCGTGTTCACACACGGGACCAGATTTATTTAAGGCTGAGTCTGCCTAACGGAGACCCCATCTATTCCTGCTTGACACACACTTGGGCGGTGGCGCAGTGGTTAGCTCACTGCGCTATGAATCTGAGTTTGATCCTCCTATAGATCAACTCAGCCTTAAATCAGTACCTGGTACGGTGCGTATAACATCAGCTCTGGGGATACAAAGACGGCTGGATAATGGATCTTGCCACACCCAACCACGCATAAGTGCGCCGCGCTGGCCTCCATAGGTGCCCAATAACAACAGCAATTGCACCGAGAGCCTGTGCAGGTTGTACGCGAGACCATTGCCTTTATCCATTCTCACGCGCACTCCGAGTGGCCGTGTCTTTGCTGACCCGTGTGAATATTGGTACGAGTAACGACCCCCTCGGTGGGCGAGCTGTGAGTCCCCTTGATGTACCCCTGTCAGGGGTCCGATCCAGTTCGATGCCGAACCCTGGATCGGGAGATGCTGGATGGGAGGGGGGGCGGGGGATGAGACGGGAGAGTGCGCAGGTGGGAGACACGGGTGGGATAGGTTGGTGCGCGAGCACAGGTGAAAGCACACAGGTTTGGCACAGATGAGGTTTGCACAGCTGAGTTCACTTGCTGAGCACACAGGTTAAAGCACAGGTGAGACGTGAAAGCACAAATGCGCGAAAGCACAGATACGAGAGCACAGGTGTGAGCAATCAGGTGCCACAGGTGAGAAATCACACGGGTGATATTTGACAAGGTGAGAAGTGAGAGGCAGGTGAGATAAACCAAACAGCTGAGGAATGATACACAGGTGAGTGGTGAGACACTTGAAACCAGACAGATGAGAGGTGAGACATCACACAGGTGAGATGATGTGAGACAGCTGAGCCCACAGGTGAGATGTGAGACAGGTGAGAATCACGACCCTCTCCCTCCCTACCCTGACCCTATCCCACACCCAGCTGTGTCGCTGCGTCTCATGCCTAGCCCCCCCCTCCCCTCCACCTAGCCGCCCCCCCGTACCCCCGTGATTCTTATGCCGTTCGTACAACTCGTCGATGTTGGTCGATGTTATTTATGGTCATCGTGGTCCGTGAGGTTGTGAATCCCACTCGTTCATTCATCGATTCGTTCAGCCGTGCACATGCCCCTTACCCTCCCTGCCCCCAGAGCGATGTCCCCCCCGCACTCCCCACGTGTGCGTGCGTGAAACCTCGTGGTGTTGTTGAAGCAACGTTACTATTGTATTTACTTGTAGAAGTGTTTTAAGCAATTGGATATATTTGTATTGACAGTAATAACTAATAACCATAGACCTGTACTACTATAATTATATTGATGATGATATTGATTGTGATGATGCTATTGATGAGGATGATGATGATGATATAAGAGAATTATATATGGGGGAAACACAGCGAGACGCGTTTTGCTACGTGTAACACAACATAACACATATATGCAGGAATTTGTATAATGTTCTATCAGTTTTAGTTTGTTTCCGATTATCTTCCGATTTTATATATAAAAGAAAAGAAAATAATTTCATAGCAAGTATAACTTTTTGTTTTTGTTAATGCGATTAATGTTATTTTTTTCTGAGTAAAAGCTTCTAAGATGGGGTGGGGGGGGGGGGGGTTATATGATTATTGCAGACTATATGGGCCGGGTTTACATGTACAATGACGGGTGATGTATGATCGCGTGACGGCGGTGATGGGCTGGTGATGGTGATGGAGCGAGTGTTGATGGGTCTCCGCCCCCCCAAATTCCCGTGATCTATTCAACAGTCGATTATAAGATATATATTTTTTGGAACATTGCCTCTAGTGGCTGGTGGGGGGGGGGGGGTCACGTAAAATCCACGATTACGCAGCGTACGCCAATCGGAAAGCAACCCCCCCCCCCCCACAGCATTGCTTCTGTGCGGAAATGCGTGCGTCGTGATCTTAATTGGCGACATTAATCGATTAATCGATAATGCGGCATTATCTTAACCATCTACCCAAGATCCCACTAAAGATACATTCACCGAATTAATACAATTATAATAATAATGATGATCGTCATTTACAGCCGGTGAGAAACGAGGGTCTCCGCTTCCCTGTGACGTGTCGGTCATATGGGTGGTTCGACCATACTTCACCACGCCGGTCAGTGCGGGTTTGGTGAAGATGAGTCCCTCCACCCAGATCGGATATCATTCGTTAGCCGTGGCCCCGATAAATCGCTAATTTAAACTCGGCGCGACAGTCGGTGCGCTAACCATTGCGCCACCGCTCCCCGCGCTCACTGCATTAGCCCCCCCCTACCTCTGACCTCGCATCCACACTCGCTCGCCTGACCCCCCCCCCCCCCTTCACACCACGCCCTCCCACCCTCATTGAAGGGAGCCGGTCCAATTCCTTGGCTCAAGATTTGGGAACACTGGGAGGCAACTGGGCTGTATTTGCGGTTGGAAGACAGATTCCCTGCTGCAAGCGTACGGGGCCCGTATTATTGTTTTTGAATGCAGCACTTCACGCTGGAGACACACACATGGAATGATCCTATTTGGTTCTTTCGGTGAAGTCACGTAGTTAGAAATAAAACACGTTTCGATCGCTTGTGTTGCGATCGAAACGTCGTGATTTATTTCATTATATTTCTAACTACGTAACTTTAGCGAAAGCACCAAAGAGTATGGATTCCTGCAGTCACGAAAGCTTCAAATCACGTAGAATAATATCAAGACTGCAGCTGCATTATTCCTCGCGACCCGTCATTGCAAACTGTTCAAACGTTTTGGTGTCTCTCTGTCCGCATTGCTCCAGCCTTCTGCGAGACACTGCGAGTGAATGCTTGGTGAACAGCTGCCGGTAGCACGGAGAGCGGCGCTGACTGATCATTGAAGTTTGATTTCCGCTCACGGCGAACACCAGTGACGATTATCTGAACCGGTCCTGAACCTCCCCTAGGTAGTCTCAACCGTAAAACGAGTACCTGGCGCGGTGTGTAAACCGCGCCACTGGGGAGACAAGGGCGGCCGAGCGTGATGTTGACCAACCATAGGGATCTGTGTCCCACGCACCACACACACGCGCGCGCGCACGTGCGGAACCTGTTAACCAATCATCGCGCGCGCATTTGAACTGTGAACCTTGGTAAACAATGTGACACCGAAGCCGCGGTGGGCAAAGTGATGACTTGGGTGTGTCGTCCCATGAGCCAGAGCGGAAACTTGCACCACCTGAGCGGGAAGGGGCAATCCTCTTGATTTGCGCCGATTTATTTACACGACCAGCGCCAGTGAAATTGCTTTATAAAAACCCAAAGGGGTCGCCACGTAAATTCACCGGTGCGGTATTGGCCACATCGAGAAAAGATTGTGCCGGCTCCCGTGTTCCCTGGACTTGCCTCGCAATTCAACGAATGATTTGCTGCTGCTGCTGCCTATGCCTCTGGGACACACATCTCAACACACTATGTCAATAACACTGTGGTCGTAAGAGGAAATGGGCCTTCTTTAAGTGCATGTCGTAAATAATCCAGGACTGTGGAGACAGCGTCCAGGGTTGATGGATCACACAACTGCCTTCCCGCACCACCACCTCGCCAGGGAGGTGGTGGTGCAGCAAGAGGACGAATCTCCGCCCGTTTCCATCTGTACGGGGATCGAGCGTTGCCCCCTCGCGCAAGGCGTGGGTCTTATCCGGGTGCTCCGCTTTCCTTCCACACGTATAATAAGCAACTAATCTTCAACAACAACAAAAACTCACCGTAGTAGCAGCAACAGGACCCTCCTGAAAATGAATCCAACGAATTGGTGTGGATTTCTTGCGTAAATGATCCTTGTGGCGGTACCCCGGGGTGCCAAATAATACAAAATGGTCGAGTCAATTAAATATTTTATTTCTGGGACACGTTTTTTTTCCAGGGGTGTACTTATCTCCGCGACTGGGGTATTAATCAATCCGAAATCAGTGCTACTCCGCCATGTTGAAACGCAGCGAGGACGATTGCGCTGAAACCTTGAACGCTCGTAATGCACCGTAGTAGTGCATCGTGTACAGCTCGTCGAGATGAGTCGATTGCAGCATGGCCGACCATCAACAGACTAAAGATGACTGCATCGCGGACATGATGCGAGAGCCGGGGTACTATGGTACCGCCATGAGGTTCAAATAATTAATCACTTGGCCTACGAAGGAGGTTCATTGCCCTTTTCAAGGCCGCGCAATCAAAGCATTGCGTTATTGACGAACGTGTCGGAGTTTTGAGTGGTCGGGGCTGTGTTGCTGCCCCGGTTTTGTTCTTGCAGCACGAAGGTCAAACGCAGCCCAAGGGGTCAAACGTTGCCCGAGGGGTCAAACGCAGCCCAAGGGGTCAAACGCTGCCCGAGGGGTCAAACGCAGCCCAAGGGGTCAAACGCTGCCCGAGGGGTCAAACGCAGCCCGAAGGTCAAACGCAGCCCGAAGGTCAAACGCTGCCCGAGGGGTCAAACGCAGCCCGAAGGTCAAACGCAGCCCGCGTGCCTCCCAGTGTCCTCACAGCCCGAGCCGACCGATACGTGGAAAATACTTAAGTCTAGTACATAGTATATTATATTCGACATACAGTATATATTATAACCGTTCGTGTCCTATACATTGAAATACAAAAAACTACATATTATAAAGTATAATCGTAGATGTTAAATAACGAATAGTATATATATTGAAATGTTTTAAACGCGTAGTGATGATGTGGTGGAGGAATGATGTGGCGATGATGGAAACGTTGGTTGAGTGTGGGTGGAGAAGGAGGTTGGTGGCGGTTGAGAAGGAAGAGGTCGCAATTAAGAGGTGTTTGTGGTTGAGGAGGTGGTAGGGAAGGAGGAATAGGTGGTTGTGGTGGTTGTGGTGATGGTTGGAGGAGTAGGGCAAAGTGGTTGTGATTGAGGAGTGGAGGAGGAAGTGGTTGAGGAGGTGGAGGACGAGATTGTTGACGAGGTTGGTGGTGGAGGAGCTTGTTGACCACGTGGTGGAGGTCGTGGTTGGTGTTCGTCTCGTCACGTGCGTCGTTGTGAATGAAGTGCGCGCGCGCGCGACCGAACCGCGGTGACTTCGTGTTGTGAATCCCCCCTAACAAAAACCACAACAATAACAACAACCACCACAGCAGCAACCACCAGCAACAAACACAACAACAACAACAACCAACCCACCCACGAGCGCGGAACACTGAATCCCGTCCGTGGAATGACCGAATGTCCTCGCCTCTCCCGCCGAGGCGACTTCTCCCCGTGTCCGCACTGAACTCAATAAAGCGAGTCCGCCCACGACTTCCTCTCCTCGCCTCGTCTCTTCACGGGTTCACTTCCCACGCTGCTGCTGCTCCTGCTGCTGCTCTCAAGAGCAATCACCTGCGATCAGCTGCAATCACCTGCAATCACGTGGAATCTGAGCCATCGGGTGCAATTTAAGCCATGGGGTGCAAATCTGAGCAATCGGGTGCACTTTTTGGGCAATCGGCTGCAAGTCAAGCGACCGGTTGCAATCTTAGCGACCGGTTGCAGATTGAGTGAGCAGTCGCAATCGTTTGCAAGTTAAGCGACCAGTTGCAATCTTGAGTGATCTGGGGCAATCCGAGCCATCAGTTGCGCAACCATGTCGCTGTCGAAATCGCACAACTTAATTCCCTGCTGATAGCACATTCCTGCGGAGGGAGCTGGTAGGAACGTTGGGTTGCTCGGTCAATGGCCAGGGTCAACGGCGGCGTGGTGTATTCCGCAAATATGGCCGACTGTGAGGGCGGGCACAAGCCGGCGTGACTAGGTTTAACGTTGAGTTTTATAAGGGCACCCCTCCCCACCCAGCCCCACTCCTCCCACCCCCCACCCTCCACACCCTCCCCTCCCCACCCAGCCCCTTCCCACCCACCCAGCCCCTCCCTGCACGACGGACACAATAATCCCTTGTGGGCTGGTGTAACCAGGAGGTTCCTACCAGTATGTGTGGACGTGTCTGGTTATAATCAGTTGCATGCAACCATGTTGCACAACTGACCGTTCAGATGTGGGCCCACGTTGATGATAGTGGTGATGGTTGCGCAGCTGTTGCTGCTGTTGTTGCTGCTGCTGATTATTATTCTAACAGTGGTCATAATGAATGCTGCTGCGAATGCTGATGATGTTTTGGTAAGAAGATCTTGCTGATCATGATGATGTTTCTGCTGCTGCTAATGCGATGTTGGTGATGATGGAAGCAGCTGCCGATAATGATGATTTTAGTGATTGGATGAGATGATGGCGATGCTTCTGCTGATGATGGCGGTTGTCGTGGTGACGATGGTGATCATGCCTTTATGCTCAATTGAGTGTGAGGCGATGTTCAACTCCACTGACGACCCTGAGCCAATAGTGACAACTCCACATTCCTGTGACGGTGGCAAGTCTATCCACAGCATAACTTCCCACGGTGTAGGTAATTAACACGAAGTTTAATATGTAGTAGGCTTTTGCGACAAATATTCATAATAAAGGTTTTGGGTTAGATCGTGTAAGTATAAATGTTGTGTCGTAACCCTCCACCACCCGACACAGTGAGGGTTTTGTCACGTAAACAAAACGCGACAATTAGCGACTACTGCAGCCCACCGGTGTGTTGGAGAGTAAATCCACAACATTTACATCAGCAAGGTCAGGCTTGCACGAACACATTCTGTTGAACTGCAAGATATTTATTGTCAAGGACTGATTTCAACATTCACTGTCTCATCAGCATTGAGGCTTGTATGAGCCCACGCTGACGAACTGCCAGATGTTTATCGACAAGGAATGCGTTTGCCATTCAGCGTTTCATCAGCAGGGCCAGGCTTGCATGCCCAGATGCTGGAAAATTAGATTAACATTTAAATGGGATTGATTCTGACATTACGTGTCTCTGGATCAAGCACGCTTTCCTGCCAAATATTACTGGCAAGGACTGGTTTCGACTTTCAATGTTTCATCAGCAGGGTCAGGCTTGCATGCCCAGATGCTGGAAAATGGATTAACGTTTAAATGGGACTGATTCTGACATTACGTGTCTCTGGATCAATCACGCTTTCCTGCCAAATATTATTGGCAAGGACTGGTTTCGACTTTCAATGTTTCATCAGCAGGGTCAGGCTTGCATGCCCAGATGCTGGAAAATGGATTAACGTTTAAATGGGACTGATTCTGACATTACATGTCTCTGGATCAATCACGCTTTCCTGCCAAATATTATTGGCAAGGACTGGTTTCGACTTTCAATGCCTCATCAGCAGCGTCAGGCTTGCATGAATTCAGGGACGTGCTGTCAGGGGAGACAGGGGAGGCAGAGCCTCACCTATCATACTCCAATGAAAATAGCTGTTACGAAAAGTAAAAACAAAGAATAATCAAATAAAATTAATAGAAAAAAATTTCCACTCATGTGTTATAAATGTCATTTCTGTACCATTCCAATTATTTTTACAGTCAAAATCGCCAAATTTTCGGAGCTCCACTGCAAATACAGGAAGAGATGAGAGGTGAGGCAGCGACGAGCTCAGCCTCCCCTCTGATTGCGCAACCCCTCAGTAACTGGATGGAGCGCGGGCAATAAGCGCGTGCCTGTTACTATCTCAGTATGTCACCAATGTGATGTTTGTAGACCCCTTCATTTCATGTCCTCGCCTTCCATACTCCAGGTAACTTATTTCACGTACGTGTATACAGATATTTAGGCTCGCTGGTCTCGTCATGAAACTGCAATTAAAAAGCACCAGGGGAGGCAGCTATCACATCTGCCTCACTGAGGGGGACGTATCTAACACGCCCCCCTCAGTGAGGACACGCCCCCCTCAGTGAGGACACGCCCCCATCAGCGAGGCCACGCCCCCCTCAGTGTGTGGATCTGGCTCTGACACGAGCCAGTGCCTCCCCAGTCATTGACCTCACCGCACGTCACTGCATGAATCAATGCTGATGAATTGCCAAATTTCGATTTAAAGCTTTCGTGACTGCAGGGATTCATCTTCTTGGTTCTTTCGGTAAAGTCTCGTAGAATGGAAATAATAAAATAATAATAAAACATAATTAAATAATTCTCACGACGTTTCGGCCACAACGCAAGCAGCCGTCCTCAGGTGGAGAACAGGTCTGTCGAGAAGACAGAGTCTGAATGACGTCTGTCTTCTCGACAGACCTGTTCTCCACCTGAGGACGGCTGCTTGCGTTGTGGCCGAAACGTCGTGAGAATTATTATATGCTTTATTTTTATTATTTTATTATTTCCATTCTACGTGACTTTACCGAATTGCCAAATGTTTATAGGCAACGACTGGGTTCGACATTCAGCGTCTCATCAGAAGGGGCAAGCTTTTCTACCAGATGCTTATTGGCAAGGACTGGTTTCGACAGTGTCTCATCAGCAGGGTTAAGCTCTCCTGTCTGCTATACAGGGAGTCGTGGGTTCAATCTCAACCCTGATATCTGCATTATATTTGAGGTTTGCATGTCTCTCTCCCCGTGGCCGCGTGGAAATTTTCTCTGGGTTCTCCGCTTTTTTCCTCCAAATTTAGAAATACGCTTTTTATATTATTTAGCTGCTTATACGTGTCCACATGATAAGCCACGTTGTTGAGCTATCATTTGTGGCAAGGTCGCTTCTGAAAAATAAGTTCATACCTCAATGGGCTTTGCCTTGTAGGATGGGGATGGTTTAGTTTCATTTGTATGTGTGTGGGTGATTTGTTTGTATTTCCTGTACTATGCACGACTATCGTGTTTTTGTGCAGTTTGTTGTAACGTTCTTACCCCGTGCCCCTACTGGACATCGGTGAAACAAAATATTTGTAACTCATTTGGATTCCTCCAGGAATACAGTACAAACGAGTTCGGTTCCAGAGTTACTGTTTGTAAGTCCAACTTTCTTCCTGTCGATTCGAAACATGTTGTATAGTATGTACATTAAACATGGGGAATGTTGATGCCACTGGTTCTTCACGTTCTGCAGATGTAGATGCCACTGGTTCTTCACGTTCTGCAGATGTAGATGCCACTGGTTCTTCACGTTCTGCAGATGTAGATGCCGCTGGTTCTTCACGTTCTGCAGATGCCACTGGTTCTTCACGTTCTGCAGATGTAGATGCCACTGGTTCTTCACGTTCTGCAGATGCAGATGCCACTGGTTCTTCACGTTCTGCAGATGTATATGCCACTGGTTCTTTACGTCCTGCAGATGTAGATGTCACTGGTTCTTCACGTTCTGCAGATGTAGATGCCACTGGTTTTTCACGTTCTGCAGATGTAGATGCCACTGGTTCTTCACGTTCTGCAGATGTAGATGCCGCTGGTTCTTCACGTTCTGCAGATGCCACTGGTTCTTCACATTCTGCAGATGTAGATGCCACTGGTTCTTCACGTTCTGCAGATGTAGATGCCACTGGTTCTTCACGTTCTGCAGATGTAGATGCCACTGGTTCTTCACGTTCTGCAGATGTAGATGCCACTGGTTCTTTACGTCCTGCAGATGTAGATGTCACTGGTTCTTCACGTTCTGCAGATGTAGATGCCACTGGTTTTTCACGTTCTGCAGATGTAGATGCCACTGGTTCTTCACGTTCTGTTGATGTAGATGCCACTGGTTCTTCACGTTCTGCAGATGTAGATGCCACTGGTTCTTCACGTTCTGCAGATGTAGATGCCACTGGTTCTTCACGTTCTGCAGATGTAGATGCCACTGGTTCTTCACGTTCTGCAGATGTAGATGCCACTGGTTCTTCACGTTCTGCAGATGCCACTGGTTCTTCACGTTCTGCAGATGTAGATGCCACTGGTTCTTCACGTTCTGCAGATGTAGATGCCACTGGTTCTTCACGTTCTGCAGATGTAGATGCCACTGGTTCTTCACGTACTGCAGATGTAGATGCCACTGGTTCTTCACGTTCTGCAGATGTAGATGCCACTGGTTCTTCACGTTCTGCAGATGTAGATGCCACTGGTTCTTCACGTTCTGCAGATGTAGATGCCGCTGGTTCTTCACGTTCTGCAGATGCCACTGGTTCTTCACGTTCTGCAGATGTAGATGCCACTGGTTCTTCACGTTCTGCAGATGCAGATGCCACTGGTTCTTCACGTTCTGCAGATGCAGATGCCACTGGTTCTTCACGTTCTGCAGATGTATATGCCACTGGTTCTTTACGTCCTGCAGATGTAGATGTCACTGGTTCTTCACGTTCTGCAGATGTAGATGCCACTGGTTTTTCACGTTCTGCAGATGTAGATGCCACTGGTTCTTCACGTTCTGCAGATGTAGATGCCGCTGGTTCTTCACG